GGTGGTGCTGAGTGATGGTCCCAAGCCGGACTGTGAGCTCCAGGTCTGAATCACCACTTCTGTGTAGGGCCTCTGTCCTGAGGCAGGCCACTGCTCTGCCCCTCAGCACTCACATTTTTAAAATAGGACAATAATGACACCAACCTCACAGAGGCATTACAGCCTTAAAGAAATAGCATTTACAGATCAAAAAAGCAGTGGATGATAAAAACTGGGCTTACGATTGCAATTTGTTAAACTAAAACAGCTCACCAGAATTTGACTTTATGTCTTCCATTCCGTGCAAATTGTTCAGGTTGCTCCCTTATTCTCAAGTGTTTTCATTCTTCATTCTACTTTTGCTTAGTTTTTTTGTTCTCTTGAACTTGTAGAAATTCTCTTCTTTTGACTTGTGAAACAATGTCCTCTTCTAGTTCTCTTCTACTTCTCTGGTCTTTCCCCCTCTTTCTCTTCATTACCTGCTTCCCAGTGCCCACCTTTGGGCTCCCCAGGGCTCTGATGTCTGGTTTTACTATTTTATTTCTGTGAGGCCTTCCTTCTGGACCCCTTCCCTTCCCATGGCTGGGGAGCTTTGGCAGGACTCTTCTCTACATTGTAGTACTCCAGCTATTTCAAATCCTAAATTATGCAAAGACAGTGGTGGCTACTTTTGACCACAAACTGTTAGAAAACTTCATTGCCCTCCTGTTACCCATACACTTTGTGGGAGCAGATGAAAAGAAATGCCTTTCACAAATAGAGAAGTCCCAAAGTTACATCTTGCCAAATATCTCTATTCTATGTCCTTCCTCTGTGTCACATAATGACACACAGTACACAAAGGGATGGGAAGAGGGTGCTCATGTTAGGGCTTTCTTCTTGCAGTCTGTGGTCTACAATTCTGGTAAGGCAGGTGACCTATGGTTGCAGGGAGGGCTGTGAGTCTGTCCCTCTTGGATACCTCCCTGCAGTAAGGCTATATAGCCAGAGGTGGCGCCATTGTTTCTTTTCTTCTTTGCTCTGTTTTGCAGGACTCTCTTGATGCCTCCTAAGAAAGGGACCAGTCAGACACATTTTTACACATTTTCAAGTACCTGTTTTTGACCTTCCAGTGGCCATACATATAAATTTAGGTATAGAATTCTAAGGTACAAGGTTGTTCATCACATTTTGAAGGAATAGCTCGGTGCAGACACAACAATGGCAATCACTGTTCTGGAGAATGTCTTTGCCTTTCTGCACTGCAGTGTTAGTAATCTGATAGCAATCAGAAGTCTAGCCTGGGCTAGTCAGTGGGACCTGTCTCTCCCTCCTGGAAGCTCTGAGTATCTTTTCTTTATCTCCTACCCCCAACATTACGGTATTCTGTAATTTTGTGTCATGTACAATGTGTGTGTGTGTATGCGTGTGCGTGTGTGTGAATGTATATATGTGTACTCATGGCTCTGTATTAATTGTGCTAGAAACTAAGTAGGTAATTTGGGGAAATTTCCTTGAAATTTTTTATTGTCCTTACTATCTCTTCAATTCATTATTTCTTCCTCACTCTGAACTTCTTTTAATCAGATTGTTCCTTTCCTGTTTATGTATCTCTTTTTGTTGTTGTTCATTTGTTTTATTTTCTGGAAGATTACCATAACTTTATCTACCAATCTTTGACTTTGAAATTTCAATGATCATAATTTCTAATTGTGATCCCTCTAGTAGTTCAAGATTAAGTATCATCTTGTTTTAGAGATGTGACATCTTCATTTATGTTATAGCTACTTTTCTCTTGTTTCTGGGACAAAATACCTGCCATCCATAACTAAGGAAGGAAAGGTTATTTCAGCTCATATTTTGTAGAGGTTTCAGTCCATACTCAGCTGGCTCCAAGGCAGACTGTCACATGGGAGAGGACAGCAGTTCATGGCAGTGAAAAACAGCAAAACAGTAAGAGCAAAAGGGAGGAGTAGTGGCAACAAGCAACAGAGAGCAGGTCTGTCTCCCTTATGCTGCATTCAGGCTGTCTGCCCCATGCTGGGTGCAGCACTTATAGCCGTAATCCCAGCACCTGATCATGAGTTAATCACAGACTCTAGAAGTCTGCCTCATAACTGTGTGAAGTTTTTGGGAGACAAATAGACACAAGCCATAACAATGTACTTCTCTAATAGTTTTAAGTACTCTTCCATTTCCTGGTTAGTCTGTTTCCTACAGGTCTCTCTCTCTCTCTCTCTCTCTCTCTCTCTCTCTCTCTCTCTCTCTCTCATGCTGAAGCTTTGCTGGAATTCCTGGTGATTCTGCACTGCTTCTTGGTCTTTAGGATTTGAGTTCCAGAAAGCTTGTAAGATGTGACTTGGTGCACTGTGTGGAGCACGTCTGATGCCATGACCATGGTGTGAACTTGAATTTTTATTGTGAGATCCCAAATGTCAGTATAGCGGGTCTTCTTGGAGAGTTTCTCCAGAGAAGAATTCTCTGTCATCTGGTCCTGTGGGTTGAGATGGGGGGATAGGTAGGTTGTATGCACTTTCTGTTACTGTAGGAACAGATTTCTCTAGGAATAAATTGCTGTTCTTGTGGGGCAGGGATGGAGCTATGGCCTGGTGCCTGACCCCAGCCTACAGCCTTGCTCCTTCTGTCTTTTTGGCTATCTT